TCATATCGAGACCACATCCAGAGCAACACAAACCGCAGAGGACGCTGAACGTCGGCCAAGAGCATCGCGCCTCATATCGAGACCACATCTAGAGCAACACAAACCGCAGAGGACGCTGATCGTCGGCCAAGAGCATCGCGCTTCATATCGAGACCACATCCAGAGCAACACAAACCGCAGAGGACGCCGAGCATCGCGCCTCATATCGAGACCACATCCAGAGCAACACAAACCGTAGAGGACGCCGAACGCCGACCAAGAGCATCGCGCCTCATATCGAGACCACATCCATCCCAAAAAAACAAAAAAACACAACGCCACGACACTGCAGAAACACCTCGCACCCCAAATCACGGCGAAATCGGTAGATAGCGCAGAAATCGACGGCGGCAACGCAACACAAACACGACCGAAGAGCAAAGAGGGCACACACGTGTCGACACAACACCACCCCAAAAAGCCGACGTGCCGCAAAAGCAGAGCTCGCAAAACCGTTAAGAAACCAGCTCTCCGACAACAGCAGCCACAGAGATCAAGATCCTATGGCCCAACGTTCTTGAAAAGAACCCGTTCGGCGCGCAGCGTCACGGGGAGGGTGACTAAGCTTTAGGAGAATGAGGTTGACAACAAATTCACACAATGAGTAACGACATGCAACAATGGAGAATTGAGTGGTGTATAAGGTGCGGGTCAAGCGACGGACTGTGAGGTAGAAGTACACAAAACGTCGCAGCCAAGATCCCCCATCGGCAGCAAGTGCTCTAACCAAAGAGTAAAACTATGAATCACAGGCAGAACGAGAATGAAATAACGTCAAACAAATTTGGGCCTAAGGGGCCCTTCTTACTAGGGACCGGTCCCACTGCGTCCGATTGGATCGTAGTCTAGTGCTGAGGGCCTATAGGGGGAAGAGCTTCGATTGCTTTTCCCCTCTATGGTGGCAAGAATGTGATGTGAGGCCACATACCTGGTCCAGAAAGCAGACTTGCACTGATGTCACAATTGAGCTAGGTAGCTGCTTTAGTTCTCCTTTGGTGTGACATCAGTGCATGTCTGCTTTCTGGACAGCTGTCGACTAGCAGCTGGTTTTTTTGTGTGATTTTGCAATCTGGAATTCTGTCATTTTGCTATTGCTCATTTTCCTTGCACTACCGAATTTATGGTTTGACCGTTCAAGGGAAGGGGAGGGGAGGGTGGGTGATTTCAGTTTGGAGAGAGGAGTAATTTATGTACTTGCCGTTGGTCATTGGGCTTTGTTAATGAAGATGTCCAATTAAAAAAATAACAATAAGAAGAAGAAGAAAAACAAGAAGAATTGCAGCCCTAAGGCTGCGGTATAGTGGGTTCTTAGGTGTCGCATTTTCATCAACAGCCGACCAGGACGCAAAGTGGGTTCTTAGGGGGCAAAAAATTTTGGGCGACCGGTCCGTGGCAAAATTGCAGACTACCTACAACTTGCTTTGGTAGAACCGGGACTTTTGAAAAAAGTAAGGACCGGTCCTCGGGTGGAAGCGGACCCCAAAAAAAAAAGGGGCCAATGCCCTTAGGCCCAGGCGTCGAGGCAGGGTCTGGTGCGGATGGGCGGGAACGTTGCCTTCCACTAGGCCCCTATACTTAAAAGGGGTACTGCGCGTCAAGTCCCGCAATTTGCAAAAGGCAACTTTGATGATTTTTTGTGCTCAGAAGGATTCGCAGAAAAATCTAAAAATTGAGAATCCGTAGATTAGGTCGTGTTCTTTCCAGGAAAAACATCAGAAATATTTTTACAAATCACTAAGACCGCAAAATAATCGCCACGCACATTTGACACATTTTCCATTTTTGGCACTCAGCTATGTGTGGGCCAAGGAAAAAGTACTCCAACTTCAGTGATTTTTTGTGCTCTGAAGAATGCGTGGAAAATGCTGAAAATTGGACTGCTCGTAGATTTTGTTGTGATTTTTCCAGCAAAAATATTAAATAAAGTTTTAAATTTTATTTTAACTGTGAAATAGATTGCGGCCGCAATCTGACCCAGATTTCAATTTTGTCCTTCAGCCTCTCTCTCTCTCTCTCTCTCTCTCTCTCTGGTAGTCCCCCCCCCTCCCCTCCTCTCTCTCTCTCTCTCTCTCTCTCTCTCTCTCTCTCTCTCTCTCGTGCGCGCACTTAGTCTCATTGCTTTGGCTACCTTAGGGCTGCGTTCCCCGCACCCATGCCGTAGACAATGAATTTATGTGTGTCATATCCTTCAACGCGCAGGGGGCATGCTATTCAATCTTCTCTAAGCTATATTTTTCTCTCAATTTCACCTTTCACTACCTATACCTACCACTAGTCCTAAGCTACCTCTCACAACTAAGGGGATGCATGTTGTCCCCCCGCCCTATAGTGGCACGAGTCAGGGAGTAGGGTGGGGGCGCCCGGTCGGGGGGGGGAGGGAGGGGTCAGCTAACGCAAAGATCGAGCATTTTGCCAATAGTTGCACCTCCCTTCTACTTCCCCTACGCCACATCGACTACCAGCAGTGTCTATGGCCAACACTCTCC